GACCGTTTTGGACTTGTTAAGGATAAACACTGTATTCTACTTACTCTCTAGGTACTTTTTTTCTACAAGTCTATACTGTTAGGCAGGGTTTTGGCTCTTAAGATTAAATTTTAAGGTCTAGGGTTAAAGTTAGGGTAAGGATTATTTTGAGAGTAAGAGTAGTTATATATGTCTAAACCAATTCACTTTTAACGATTTGAAAAAATTTGGCCATTGGGTATATGACATTCATTATAATAAAGGTTTTTGTATTTCCCAATGAATGAAAAACAAAACGATATTTCATCATGGGCTGACATTGGTTAGAGAACCATTGGAAAACCTGGGAGTACTGGACAGCTGTTTCGTCCTAGTTTGGGACTCCTCAGTAGTACGCACCCACCAGGGTTCGAACCCAGGACCTTCTAGTAACAAGGCCAGCTCGGTTGCGCTATATCGTGAATTGGCAGAAGTTAAAATTCATGGGCCATTGAATCGGGTCCCAGTGGCTTAATGGTCTACGAGCTTACCTCGTAACCAGGAGGTCCTGGGTTCGAACCCCGTGGGTGCGTAGTGCTGAAGAGTCCCAAACTAGGACGAAACGGCTGTCCAGTATTCCCAGGCTTTCCAATGGTTCTATAACCAATGTCATCCCATGATGAAATCCTGTAACCAAAAAGACGAGTTTGAACAAAGCAAGAACTACAGTTTTAGCCGTTCTTGTAGTTCTTGCTTTGTTCAAATTCATTAAGGGGAACAAATGTATGAAAAAAGACGAGTGTTACCTACATTGAAATCAAGGAATAGAAATAATAATAACTACACAATTATCTGAATTCAGTAAACGGTAATAAATTTTCCATAGATCAGATCGCTTACTTTCACACATTCCTCTGCTTCCCAAATAGGATACAGGAATTCAAACTTTGATGTTTCAGTCACAGTGCTGATGTCCTTACAGGGTGGGATCGGCAACCTAACGCTAAATTTTCCCAATATTTTGAGCTTATCATCGGTTATTAAATTAAGGAAGGATTTAGGAAGTGCGTCGATTATAGATCGAACCCAGACCTCTCCTCCTGTGGCTGGAGAGAATTTTATTATTACTGAACCACAGAGGCATCATGCACAAAGCCACAAGTCACAGTCATCGTATTAAGATGGACGGTAATTAATCTAGTTGTTGAATAGACTGAGGTAAGCGGAGCAAGACTCGAACTTATGACACACTGGCTGAAAACCGAGTAATTCAGCCAGTAAAATAGATCGCATAAATGTATACTAAGCACATAATTTACGAATACAGCGATTCCTATTGACATGAATACTCAATTCGTAGCAGGATTTTATCGTTGTTTAATCGTGTAATTGTCTCCCTCCGGATGAAATTTCAGGCCAACGCCTTCCTGGGCGTGAGGCTGGTAATCGTTCTCCGCGTAAAGGGATCGAATAACCACCATTACCGAAACTTTAAAGCTTGGAGATGTTTACTCCACACGAAAAAATACAGGATTCGAACTAATGCTACATATTCTAGCCTAGCAATCATACTACTCAAAAACCGAAAATAGTAGTGTGTTCAGCCACATACAAAAGGACTGGATCTTTTAACTGATCACCAAGTTTAAGTAGAAAAAGACAGTAACCAATCCTAGTAGCCCTTATAGGTATTAAAATCAAAGTCAACTGTATACAGTCTAAGTGTGGAGGCCCCTGATGATGTCTAGTCGATAAATACCTGAGATTAGTCGGAGTACAGTATTTATTATTATTATTCCAGTGGGTGCAGAGTGGAACATAGGGCTTCAGCAATACATCTCCACCCTCTTCTATTTTCTATTATCCACGATTGCCCATAATCTCTCATCTCCTCCATGTCACCCTGTGACAGCCTCCCAACCTCGTCGTTTCCGATTCGGGTGCCCCTCGAACGACGGACGGCATTGAGCGCGATGTCGTTCGACGGTTCCTCAACACTTAAGCCCGATCCATCTCCATTTACTCCTAAATATTTTTGTTGGGTGGTTTGTCCCCACAGTTTCAAGTTGCTAATTCTTTCTGGCTGGCCCGCCATCTGATCTTCAAATATGGAGCCAGCTAAGAGCCAGCAGTTGTTGATAAAAGTCTACAGTAGGCTGTTCGAAATGCCTTTTAGTGATGCTGCACACTGCAAGTTGCTGACTCGTATAGAAGAACAACTAACCTGATATTTGTATTGAAAATTCGAATCTTCTTCTTTATGCCGAGTTAATGCAGGCGATTTACAAAGTGAGAAATGTCTGTGTTGCGTCAGGCACGAACCGGCCAAAAGTCGCTGTAAGACCTGGACGTCGTGGGTGATTTATGCCTCATGGTTCATTGAAAAAACAAAACACAGAGAAGACAAAGGTGATGATGGTGATAGGCAATCAATAACAACAACAACAGCAGCAGCAAGCAGCTATCACCATCTGCAGAAGAAAACTAAAAGGGTGGCCTCTTTCACTCACCTCACACCCAGGCAAGCGCATCGTTCCAACTAGAGGGACGGCACGGATGTGGATATCAAAAACAATGAAGGAACAGGATCTGGATTCTCAACACTCATATCAGGTGCTTCTGTACAGTTCATCACAGACTTGCTGCGACCACAGCATTTCTAGCAGACCACTACAACACACTTTCATTTAACAGTTGCCTCCTCCAATACTGAAAATCACATGGCCAGATAGGAAAGAAGAATAAATATAACAAGGAACTATGACAGTGAACTAGCCAACACCTTATCGCCCAACTAATATGCAGAAGAAAATGGAGATAGATTGGAGGCACACAATGAGGAGACCATAGGAGTGATACCAAACAGCCGGTTGATACTGAAGTGGAACTCCAATGGGAAACGAAGAGGTTGGAGTCCAAATATCTCATGTAGGATAGATTATGTGAAGAGCAAAATCAAAGCTTTTGGGCGGTCGCGGAATTATCTGAAAGTGATTAGAGAGGACAGCAGACCGTGCACATGTGTTGCTGACGCTCCATTTTCCACTCAGAACCAATAATACGAAGAGTAATATAATAAGAATAAGAATAATAGTACAAAGACTCTAACGTACACATCTTGCTGACAATCGGCAATAAGCAGAAAACCTAAGAGGTTGGGGGTTTTGTCTTTAACCGAGAAGTAATTTGGAAACTACTTCAACAGTATGGCGTGGAGTGCCCAAGTCTTTATCAACCTTATTCAACAGCTTGCTGACTATATGACAATGCCACGTGTCAGGTAATCCACGACGGAAAACCCAGCGAAGCGTTCGAAGTGAGTACAAGAGTAAGACAAAGCTGCCCATATTTACCGCTGATATTCTTAATTGTGGTCCAAGGGATTATGCGTCAAACTGTGCATAGGAAGCGAAGAGACAAGAATACGCTGGACGATCGATACGAAGACTCCAGAAGATCTGGATTTCACGTGTGGATGATATATGTCCAATTTCACACAAACTCGAAGACTTACAAGCTAAGACTTATCCGGATAGGAAGCATCGTTTCAACTACAGGCCAGTGGAACGGGCGAAAATGTAAAAGTCAGAATCGGAAAGGCAAGATAAGCCTTCATCAACCTGAAACCGATTTCGAAATCTTCTGCACTCAAGATAAAGAACAAGATTCACATTTTAAGTCAGTCAGTTCTTTTATACGTGTCAGAAACTTGACGTGTGTGTCACGAAAAGGATTTCCAACAACCACCTGTAGACTTTCATCAACAACTGCCTTCACTGGCTCCATACTGAAGATCAAATGGCTAGAAGGAATTAGTAACCAACCAAGAGCCGATCGCTCAACAAATATGTAAGAGAAAGTGGAGATATATCGGAAATACATTGAGGAGGCCACCGAATAAAATCGCACGCCAGGCCAGTGCTCCAGTGGAATCCAAATGGGAAGAGACGAGTGGGTTGACAGCACAAGGGTGACGTGAAGGAGATCGTGTGAAGAAGAGATAAGACAATTTGGTCAATCGTGGATCCAGATGAAGAGGACGGCAGAAAAAAGAACACAGTGGAGATGTATTGTTGAAGCCCTATGTTCCATTAGGAACGCAACGGAATAATAATAATGAGAGATTTGTACCTAGCATAAATTTAAAGCCTATAATCGTAAACCGTGAGCTTAAATTCAATACACACACGCACACACACACACACACACACGCAGAAAAAAGGAGAATATTGTAAATCTAAAAGAAACATACCACTATATTATTATTACTATTATTATTTGAATTCGAAATACCAGCTTCTTCTTCTGTTGAAGGTTTTTCTTCGCCTTGATAATCTTCTACAGATTGCCAAGATTTTGTAGATGACTTCAGAAGATTCTTTGGTAGTCTATCACAATCAATAACAGTAGCATCATTAACAGTTGTAGTACACTTTTGTACTTCAAGACGACTTTCAAGAACCTAGTGGATAAATAAAGACAATTAGGAGGACAAAGGAACAAACAGGTGCGTTTAGATAAACAAACATGACGTGACAAAACAACGTATGGTTAATTCTGCAAACATATGATGAAATCCTCCATGCAATCAAACAAAATCCCTACAAAACCCATACTTGAAAATTAATCTGGTGCTCACTAGCCACTGGCCCTATTAAGGCAGTGGCCTGGGGGTTCTAGTGGGAAGCCATGACGACTAGAGTGCAGCAGGTTGAAGGTGAGGCAGTAGTTTATCGAAGAAGACATGGGCTAGTGGTCGCGCTATGTCGTGAATTGGTATTATTATTTATTATTATTATTATTGCTCCCTTGGGTTCCTAGTGGAACATAGGGCTTCAACTGCACGTCTCCATTTTCTTCTGTCTTCTGCTATACTTTTCGCCTGCATCCATGTTAATCCATATTCTTTCAACTCCTCTTCACACGATCTCCTCCATGTCACCCACGTGTCAAGTGATCCCCAACGGAAAACTGAGCGAGGCGCTCGAAAAAACATACAGGCCCAAGAAAAGGCCGCCAGTCTATCATCACCGATGATATTCTTAATTGTAGTAGACTGGATTATGCGTCAGACTGTGCATAGGGAGCGAAGAGACTGGAATACGCTAGACAATTGATAAGAAGACTCCAGAAGATCTAGATTTCACTTGTGGATGATATATGTCCAATGTCACACAAACTCGAAGACTTACAGGCGAAAACCAACAAACTCGCTGAAGAGGCAGCCAGGGAAGACAGGACTGCATTGAAATATCGGAAAGAAGATCCAATCGTTTGACGCTAGCGAAGTTTAGAAATGAAAGTGAAAACTACTGAAATATAACAGATATACGCTAAAACCAAACGAAAAGCGATTAAACACTGAAACCACCTAGAAGACGAACAACAACAACAAACGAAAACATATGCCATTTGTAGTCAAAAATAAAGTAAAAGATGAGATAATATACAAGTCTGAAACGGGAGATATTTTAGAGAATACTAAACCATGATGCGTCGGTGGCATAGCGGTTAGGACGCTCGCCGACCATGCACATGGTCCGAGGTTCGATCCCCGGCCGGCGCACTCCTTCGCCTCGCTAAGCCAGAAATAATACTGGTTAAGAGGAAGGGTTGGGCATGAGGCTATCAACCTCATCTACACCGACTCCTAGATTAGAAATAGGGAGTGAAGTGGTAGAGCACGTTGACCACTTCACTTATTTGGGAAGCACCATCAGCCCCAACTGGTTGATCTCTGACGAAATCTTAGCACGAATACAGAGGGCTAGTTTCGCATTTGTCAGTTTACGCCGTCTCTGGCGTAGACATGATATCCTGCTAGCTATCGACCAAAGGACGGGTGTACTGCTCATCAGTCCGCTCCGTCCTTCTTCATGGCTGGCTGTGAGACCTGGCCATTGAGAGTGGAAGACATGAAAAGCTTGGCTAGCTATCTTTGATTATAGGTGCCTGCGTTCTATCTCCCGTGTGAAGTGGCATAATAAGGTGAGAAATATTGAGGTTAGGCTTCGGTCAAGTGCTAGGTAAGCAGGGGAAATCAATCGACGAAGTTGTGAAGTTACAAAGACTGAGATGGTTAGGACATGTGTTACGTATGCCTAGTCATCACCTTCTTGGACTCGACATGCAATGTTAGCGGATATAGGGTCAGGCTGGAAAAAAGCCAACGGACGTCAAATAAGAGCTTGGTACCAGTCAATAAAATCTACAACAGTTAGTTTAAGCCACGTAGGAAGGTGTAAACTTCCTGATTGACTGGTTGGGATCCCGCGGACGGTAAAAACCAATGGTTGGAAACAATTGGTGACATGGCTCAAAATCGTTCTCAATGTCTGGCGCAGATGCATTCGCTCCTTGTGACTTATGATTTTCAATGAAACTATATTGTTCTTCGTTATTACTCTTCCCTTGTCTCACGCCTCTGCTTACTGTCTCTATTATGCATTTCATCTATTTTCTTCTCTTGGTTTGTGCGCTACAAGAAGGGAGTGTGGCGGCTTGAACTGGTGCACATCAGTGCAAAGTTCTATGTCGAAAACAGACAGACAGCAACCCCATCATGTAAAATAAACACTGCTACAGAAACTTCAAGTCACTAGCTTGCAGCCCTATGTTCCACTGGGGAACGTGAAGGAAAAAATAAATATAATAATAAACCACAAAACACTATTACTACTACCTACACTTAATCAATAAATCAGGAAAAAATTCCAACAACAAAAAACCAAAAAACCATTGCAGTAACACTTACTGAACATAATGCAGTCGTTGAATCCGCATCATGGATTTGTTTATCAGATATTTTCTCATCTACCTTATTTTCCATAGAAGCTTTTGATCTAGATTTGTGATCTTTGTCAGAGATGATTACGCCAGCTTTATTACTGCTGCTATTATGAACTAATTCAGTTGGATCAAGATTACCTGTTCCATTCAGTATAGTTCTGACTTGTTCCACTGAAAGATCATCTAATTCACGAATACATCTATGCCATAATTCTGAAACACCCAATTGATAATCACTTCCATCAAACGATACAAAAGGTTGTACAATACACGAAACTCTTGGACTTTTATTCGATGAATGTTTTGCATCTCTACGCTCTCGTCTAGCACAGATTGACAATAGACTAGCTGAGACTAGATCACGAAGTTTTGATTGTCCAATTGAAAGCCAAGCTTCTGATAATAACTGGTAATGATCATCAATAAAATGTTCCAATTGAAATATTGGTCTGTCCTTATAACTATGACTTAGACCAGAACGTAGATTTTCAATATTTTTACGTAAGGCTTGAATTTCGCTTTCACAATCATATGGACAACCACATGAAGGTAGTTTGTTTTTATGCTTTTCTGAACGGTTACGCTTTTTATCTGAATCAATCATAGTAGATATTGCTTTAGTAAGATTAAGTAATTTAGCTTTTTGACAGTCTTTAGATGTATTTCGACTGCTTGATTTTCTTTTGGTTTTTTTATGATTTGAACGACTATTTTGCTGTTTGGAATGATGATGACTTTTTTGCTTTTCACTAAGTGCACTTGAAGAACTACGTTGAGAATGAGAACGACCCATGAATTATGAGGAGCGGATTATATAAAATCGACAGTAACCTAGAAGGGGAACGGAAAGCGGGGAGAGGGGGAGGTGAGGAAAGAAATATAACCCAAATCTGCTTTGTTGAGTAATGTTATCTTTTCAATAGTGTAAATAAAATGATTAAAAGTACAAGTAGAAATATTTCCGGTTAAAAATAACCAACCAAAACCACACACACTGACCGCATTATAACTCTCAGTTCATGAAATCATAGTAAAGTGAAAACAACGGGTGCGTCAGTGGTACAGCGATAGAATGCTCGCTGACAGGATTCGATCCCCGGCCGACTCACTCCCTTACCTCAGTAAGCCAGTAGCAAGACTCGTAAGGAGGGAAAGCTGAGTATGAGGCTAGCAACCCCAACTTCAAGCCTCTTCCTTGAAGCCATATGTTCCACTGGGAACGTAAAGGAATAAAAAAAAGTGAAAACAACAGTGCAACAAGTTGAGACAACATAAGCAAGTGACTAACTTGCACACAAGTGCAGTAGTTCCAGTCACCCGACTCCATGTAGCACACAAAGGACAACAAAATCGATTTAAAAGAACGATAATGAGCAGAAATCTGAAAGAAAAAGAATAGTTACATGGAACAACATTAAGGTTTAATGGATAATGAAAAGTCACAAAGAGTAAATGCACCTGTGTCATCGCGGACAACGATTTTCAGCCATATTACCGCCAGTTGTCTCTAGCCTCCATTGGTTTTTACCACCCGAAGAAGCTCAACTAGGAAGTCTATACATCCCTAAGTGGCTGGATGGCTTAAACTGTCGAAAATTCATGCACTGATGACAAATGCTTTTGCTCGATCATCACTAGTTGTTTTCCAACCTGATCCTATGGTAGCCAACACTGCCGGTCGAAGAAGGCAATGACTAGGACAAGTGCTACGCATGACTGGATTAGTTGATACAGTAAATACTACTGTTTCACTGTCTGTCTGGTATCAACATAGAACTTGGCACCGAAGTGCAGCAGTTCCAGTTGCCACGTTCCAAATAGCACACAGAGGTAGACAAGAAGATGAGTGAAGAGAATCAATACAGTCTGACAAGTATAAGAGTGAAACAGAATGGGTAATGGTAGAAAGGAATATGAAAGATTACAGAGACTGAATACATCTGCGCCATTGACAACGATTTTGAGCCATGTCACCTATTGTCTCCAGCCATTGATTCCTAGAGTCCCGAGGGCCCCAACCCGGGAGTCTGCATCTCCCTACCTGACTCAGTTTAACTGTCAAGGATTTCATGGATTGATGCCATGTTTTTGTTTGGCCACCACTTACTCTTTCCACTTACTGTTTCACTGTGTAATATATCTAATGAAGATATCAATATAGAATTACATACCACCACAGTGGCCAAGTTTTACACATATATTAAGAGCCTTCTGTATCTGTACCCAGATTTAGTCAGCAATCAGCTGATACAACTTCACACTAGTATCAAAAGCAGCCCAATTTGCTAACTGCCGAAAGTCTTCTGGATTTATACTCGGATAGGGTTAACAAGTGATTCGGTTCTAACACGAAACTGTTTTTATAAAACGCTCAGAAAATCCACCAACTATTATCGTCATCCCGATCATTTAGCAACAACAGATATATACTTTAAAAATTTCTTTCTGAAACATACTACTCTAAAATGAAATTTACTGAACCAGCTTATGCTATATTAGTCCACTTTTGCACACATGCATGTGTGAATGCGTGTTTTCATGAGGACCGTTGTAATGAGACCACAGTTTCTACGTGATTAGACAAAACTGCGATACTTTAGCTTGAAAGAAATGTTGCAACCTTTTCTTGTACAATTTAGTGTCTACTTAAATGAACAGGAATAGTGAAATGGGACTTTTATGCAACTGTTTATCGTGTTTCCCCGTATATTAAGGGCACGCGATTATAACACAGGCCTCACAAATTCACACAATAATCCAAGAACCACAGTAGCTCTACCTAGATCAATAATTTTAGCAACTTTTCCCGTGAGTAATAAAACATTGCAAATAGTAATGAGACATCATTATGGTGGGAAATTTACCGAAATTGAATGCTTAAAATTAAATCATGACAATTTTTTCGGTCACTATCATAAACGCATACATCTCAAGAGATGTATCTACGGGTAGCTACTAACATTAAAGTGTGGGGCAAAAAGCAATCCGACTGTCATTTATAAATATACGTATATGTGCATGAGAACACAATATGCGTACTAGTCTAGCACTGCATAATTATATTTAAACTGCGATATGTTAATCACATATGTTCTTTGAGTTAAATATGAAAAGATTTATAAAAGATGAAGTCAAAATGTTGTACGAAACATGAAAACATTATTATAATGCACATACTTTTAGTATTCACGGCAGAAATTAATCACAAACAAATAAATAACAGGCGTAACGCATCCTTTGGATTAGGCGCTCAACAAGACCACAATCAATATGCAATATGACAGAGTACCCTGTGGACTGAAATTATCCCCCATGCCCAGGTCACTGGAGGGATAAGACGACTGAAGGTCCCTTTTGGTTATGTTGTATTAATGTTTCCTGACTATCCGCCTACGCACTGGGTTTTAAGTTTACCCTGCAGTTATTCGAACTTATCTTGATGCAGATGTTTCACAAATGTTATATTTTGCATCCTATTGGTTTCCACTGCCGTTCAACTCATTTATTCTATTCGTTGCTGAAGTTTTTACCGCCAGGTCAGTTTATTCATTTGATTGTAACTGTTTCAAAAGTTGCTTTCAAGCGTGGTCGCAGTGTTTTGGTTATATTTCAGCTGTAAATTGAATGACGTCATCCCCAATTCTGTAAATTGTATGTGTGAACTATTTTCGGCGGCAGAAGCTGTTGTTTTCGGTTCATTTTTGCCTACCGCTACTTTTGGTGGAACAAGTGGCCACTTAATATGTAGAAGTCTGGAAAAAACAAAGTCTCTCACGTGAATGTTTATGGCATGTCAGTCAGCGAATTAATATGGTGAAGAAAGCACACCAATGGTTGATGTTAGCAAGGTTTTCGGAGAACATATTAGAAATGGAGAATTTAGAACCTGCTTTGAAGCGGAAAAAGCTTTGAATTTTCTGGAGAAACTGAGTGTAGCATAGCTGTGCATGTTATCAGACTACACAAGCGATATCTTTTAGTAGAACCTAAATTAGACAAGGATAAACCACTCTTGAGATGTGAATGTGTTGTGCTTGTATGTATTTCTGGGAACAAAAAGAAACTGGAAAGCAATAATGAATCTCTAATACGTTAAGTGTTATCCATAGTTGTTAATGCTTGATATATATTAGATGCCAATACAGAAATTGGAGTTGTCTATAGTAAAGCCAAAGTTAACAGCTATTCAATATATTTTGTTTTGCATGCATGCGTACATTAAGTTTGTCAAACAAAATTACAATTGGTTAAGGTTATTTTAACTAAACAGGTGAAGGTTAGTAATACAAGTCAAGAGAGTTAAGTGTTAATGAAACTAGGGTAGTAACAAAGGCGATGAGTTGTCACAAACAGTTGTTGAAAGAAGTTATATAATAATAAAATGAATGGTTTGATGAGTGAGTTTTACTCAGGATGCACACAGAAACAAAGTAGATAATACGAAATTATGTAAGAGATCTAAGTGGATACAAGAATTATAAGCAATTAAAGAACAGGCAAAGAAACAAAATTAAGTCATCAAAATAAAAACTCAAAACAAATCAAAACATTGTTACGATGAGAGTAGAAGTGTTTGAGTAATCTTCTTTTGTATGCACAGCTTCGGTTTTTCTATGTGAATGGCCAGAGCTTCAGCAATACAATACGGTTCCATCTCCTTTGTATCGCTGAAGCTCTGGCCATTCACAAAGAAAAACCGAAGCTGTGCATACAAAAGAAGATTACTCAAACACTTCTACTCTCATCGTAACAATGTTTTGATTTGTTTTGAGTTTTTATTTTGATGACTTAATTTTGTTTCTTTGCCTGTTCTTTAATTGCTTATAATTCTTGTATCCACTTAGATCTCTTACATAATTTCGTATTATCTACTTTGTTTCTGTGTGCATCCTGAGTAAAACTCACTCATCAAACCATTCATTTTATTATTATATAACTTCTTTCAACAACTGTTTGTGACAACTCATCGCCTTTGTTACTACCCTAGTTTCATTAACACTTAACTCTCTTGACTTGTATTACTAACCTTCACCTGTTTAGTTAAAATAACCTTAACCAATTATTCAATATTTCGCAAAACGATTTTAATAGAGGATAGCATGTACTTATCTGGTGGGTGTGCGAGCTGCTCTGATTGAAGGTAAGACTTTAATTAGCAAGAGCAACCTTTAGGATTGTGATCTACAATCGGCCACCATTTTGAAGTGCGTCGATGCCACAGTGGTTGGGACTCTCACCGGCCTGCAAAATTTTGGCTTCCGATATCACATGCTGAAAATTCCATACCCGTACCAAAAATACGGTGTGGGATTAAGCTGCAATCAAAAATGAAATAAAAATAAAAAGTTACAACAAGCTGAGAAGCTGACTCATTCGGAGTGAAAAAGCTACCTGAATACGAATTGCTTGTTTCAGTTCAAGTAATCGAATTTTTATTACTGATATATTTTCAATTTCTTGGTGCCTATGATCACGGGTTGTACATGATGTTTAGGAAAACTCTAAGTAGATTTTCCACAAGCCAGTGAACTTTTTCTAATCTTAGTTGGCAAAACATTCGTTAACACAATCATACTAATAGATAGCGAAGTGTATATTATGTTTCGTAACTGAGTAGCGGTTAAGATCGTGTGTTCAACCGTCCAACCTTATTGATACAGATTTTTCCTCATGGTGCATTGCAACGTCTAGAAATCAGAAGCATACTGTCTTCGGTAGATTTAACTTTACTTTGTCAGTGACAGTGAATAACGAACCAGTTTAGGTTGTAGTGGACATTTAACCTCTGAACTT